ATTATTTTATTTTATTATTACTCGAATTACGAGCATCCGAAAAATGGTTCCACAAAAGAAGAAGATTCGCTTTGAGATGATCAAATTTTCGACCGACAGGCCGTCCCTGCATGAAGCTAGGGTCCCTGCACCGAAGGTAGGGTCGAGTTTCGATGAGTCATCCGTCTCTTTCTGTCCACGCAAATCGGAGGAAGAGCGAGAAAGAACGACGATGCTGTCGGGCGAGTCGGAACGGAGCAGTGGCCGACGAAGGGTGCGCGGAGCGCATTGTCTCGCGGTGGCTTTCAACATGGCACCGGTAACGCCGCGTCTGAAGTACGCAAGTAACGTAGAAACCCTCTCGTCGGGGGTGCATTAGTGCAGGATGGATCGTCTACGGGGTGAAGGTTCGTCGGTGCTTCGTTGAACGCGTGAGAGTGCGAGCGTTTTCGGCGAGCGCATCGGATTCCGGAGTAGATTTTATAAACAGAAGGGGGAGAGAGAACGAAGAGGGGAAGAAAAGAAAAGAGAGAGAAAGAAGAGCGTGCTATGTCGAGGAGTCGCACGGGGCAGGGAAGGCAGGCCAATCCGGTGGCGGTCATCCTACCCCGTGTCGAGTGACAGGCTGCTTACGTAACGGATTATTCTCGCTATGATAACGATACTCCAGACGGCGCGAACGCGACACGTCGACGTGAAGAAGCGGCAGCAGCAACAGCAACGGGACAGCATCGTCGTCGGGAGGATCGTCGGGGCAGCGGCGACAGCGCAGCGGTTGACACCGACGGAAATACGCCGACCCGGATCGCGCTATCGTCGTCTCTGATACTCGTCGCTTGAAACGGACGCCGAGCGTCGCGACGCCCACGTCATTCTCACCTCGGGAGTGCGAGGTACCGAGTGTGAATTATGACAGCGGCGGTCGTCATGGAAAACGTTAACTGGGACCCCGGTAAGTTGGCAGCAGGTGGAGGGTGGCCTGGTCACTTTCGATTCGTCGTCGAGAATTGTTTTCACGTATTTCGCGTACGGCGCGTCGAGATAAGGGGTTGGTGGTGCTCTGAAGCGACGTGGGTGATTTCGACAAAGTTGACCATTGTGGCGGCGTGTCGATAAGGGCTGCCGTTGTTTTGCAAGAGAAAAGAATTATTGGAGCAAGTTGCGAAGCATAATCCGATACGTAACATGTGTGTATGTGTGTACGTGTACGTGTGAATACTCTTCAAACACACATATTAATAAAACTTACGTCGAGCGCGAGCGTTGCATGTTATAAATATAGAGCGAGGGTAAACGCGGCAGAGTAAATAAACGCGATCGCGGGTAATAACGGGGTCTTCTGATATAATCCTGACTAGAGAGAACACGTCGCTTTAGCGGATACTTCAACCACACGGCCGCATATTTCCGTGTGCTCCAATTTGCTGAGTGGAAAGGAGGCCTCGGACGCGAGTGATCCGCGTTTAAAAAATGAATCGTGAATCGATCGGCTATCGATGTCACGAGAAATCACCGTCTATAAATTAAAATAATTACAGAGAGAAAGAGAAAGAGTTCATTACGCTGCTCCCAATTTTAGTACTTTCCCGTTTAACTATGGAAAACGTAATGAGTTCAATTCAATTCTAATAATAAACGTTACACTTTACATCGACGCTTATGTAAAGCGAAATAAATTATTAGATTCAATTAACAAAGTGAAACGAGGATTTTTTAAAGTTACTTCATTTTTCATTTGTTTTATAAATAATCTTTTCCATTACGGCGGATTTACACTTTTTGTTTTATATATATTTAACAAAATCTCATTTGTTTCTCATTATTCCAGCGTTGTCCAAGTTGTTGAACTCGCTGCAGGAGAACAAGTCGGAAATACCCAGCTGTACCGAGGAGGAATTCGGATTTCTCAGTGAGCTATTGCAGTCCAAGGAACTAAACGCTCTAGTTAACATTCATAATAAAATTCTCAACAATGTTAAGGATGACAAATTCTTTCCTGTACTCTCAAACTCGATGGATATCGACATTGAGGTTCTCGACTTGTTGTCAACGAAAACGCATATTTCGCCCGACTGCAAGGAGCTATTCCATCTACTGCAGAAACCACATATCCAGGTAAGATAATATGAGCAGATCTAGGATATCTTGTATAATAATCTAATTTTTTAGCTTATTTTAAAAAATATTCCTTCTTTCTCTTGTAACAAAAAATAAAAAGTTAAATGTTCCTCGCTAATATTCGCTTCTTTTTATTAACTTTTATTGATATTTCTTTACATTTAAAGAAATTAATTTTTTTGTGAGTACTCATAATCTGTTTTTATTGAAGGGTCTCCTTTGCGCCCATGATGCGGTGGCGCAAAAGGACTACTACCCGAGGCTGCCAGACATCCCGCTGGAGGTAGACGAGGACGAGGAAACGGTGAAGATCGTCCAGCTGGTGAAATCGAACGAGCCCCTGGTACGTCAGATCGATCGTTGAGTCGACATTTGTAATAACGGTATCTTTCTGAGCGTCTTTCACTCAATTAACCCAAGAGTGTGAGCAAAAGCGTAAGAGGGAGAGAAAGCTTAATTGTCGATTAAGTAGTAACGTCCAAGTGTACGCATTTACGTTTTGAACAAGCCATAAGGGAAAAGGGGGAAAAGTTAAAGGTAGATTACTTTTGTTTGCCAGAGCGTTAAAGATTCGTTTTTCCGCCCACACATTGGTTGTATATTTCGCGTCGACTTGCATGAGACGCGTGGAGAGCTCCCCAGTATCGGCGTAGGCAGGCGGATCACGTATTTATGTAGCTTGTACTTTGACACTTTAGAAAAAAAAAAAAAAAAAAAAAGAAAAAAGCAATCCTCCGAGAGTAATGAGTAGCCTCACGAATGCGAAGGAAAGAATAACCAAGAGTAATAACGTGTTTCTTTCATCGTCAAACTTGCTTCGAAGGGCGACGCCGGCGTTGAACCGATCGTGGTAAGTCGCCTGAATTCCATAAAACATGTGCTCATGCACCTGTGATGAACACCTGACTTTACGTCGTACGAAACTACCCTGTACCTTCATCGTCATTCTTTTCATTTCGCCGCTCGCTTTCAGCGTCAGGATCGAAACTGGTACTGGTAATTTTCTCGAGCGAGTAACTTCCGTTGCCGCATATATGGGCGCAAAGCGGTAACAGAAATTGTGAACAGTCAGAAATCTTTGGATCTCTAGATCCAGATCAAGATCAAGATCAAAATTAAACCGGTTTCAATCCCCTGCTTTTGCCTAGATCTCTAGTCATCCCTTTCTGGTTACGATGATCACACAAGATATAACATGAATTGTAAATGAAACGTATCCTTCCCTTCCCTACACAAGTTTGTTGATTTTGCTGTTTGCCTCTGTTGCGTCCATTACATATGTTTTGTTGAGTTGTTCTTTTATGTTTTTGCTTTGTAAATAAAATCATGTACATACATCAATCCTTGTATTTGTTGTTATTAACCTGCATGACTTGTATTTGAAGTACTGTGAAATAAAATTATCTTTTTGCGGATATTTGACTCGAAAGATACATTTGATAAAATTATCTTTTATCCAAAAAAAAAAACGCACTGAAACAGCATTTATTGCGTTTTTTTCCTTCAAATAATCATAATTACATAACATGGGTAATCACATTTCACGGTATGTGATATTTCTCGAGATGTGATTTGATCTTCGAGAAATTTCTTTTGCGAACCGTTTGGAATGTCTTTTCGTTTACCAGAAACGGGGAAATAAAAAGGCACTCCGAGCAACATGAAATTCCAAAGAAGATTTAAAAGATTCATTTAATAACTGAAAGATCAAACATTATAGACATCTTTTGGATATTCATGTCACAGCGCGCAACTCGTCTATTTTTGCACTGCACAATTTCGATGATCGATCGCACGAAAATCGACGGGTGCGCGCCTATCTTTGAATTTTAATATCATGCCCCGCGTTTGCCCTTCCACGAGGAGACATTTTTATCTTTACCTACCATTTTTTTTTTAAAAAAAAAGAGAAAGAAGGCGCTCCCTAGTACGCGTTCGCGCGCGATGCAACGCAATGACAATATTAGACCTTTACACCTTGACATTAGGGGGCGACCATAAAAACCTGCGAAGTCACCGGCAAGATCGTGATCGCGCGGATAATGCACGGAGGTGCGGCCGACAGATCCGGTCTCATCCACGTTGGTGATGAAGTTTGCGAAGTCAACGGTATCAGTGTCGAGGGAAAGACACCTAGTTTCGTTCTACACATATTGGTAAGCCAAACACTTTTCCATACCACTACCATCAAATAATTTAGTAGAACCATGTAGAGTTTTATATTTTTAAACAAATGATCACTATTAAAAGTTCTAGCACAAATTTGACATTGACAAATTCTTTTTTAGCAAAATTCGGAAGGGACAATCACTTTCAAAATAGTGCCCGCGGATAGCAAGAGCGGAGTCAGAGAGAGCAAGGTAAAATCTGATAAATCTGATAATCTGCAAATGTCAATTAAATATTTACGACAATTATATTGAATATTTTAGGTTCGCGTGAGAGCACATTTTTCATATGTGGCGACCGATGATCCCTACATTCCTTGCAGGGAAGCCGGATTAGACTTCGTCAAGGGTGATGTTCTACATATTGTCAGTCAAGACGACATTTATTGGTAAAATAGCGCGTTGTTAACCATTATATATATATATATATATATATAAAATCTGAATATATTTGCGGCAAATTATAATGATATTGGTTAAATAAAGGTGGCAAGCCAGGCGAGAAGGCGATCGAAATATGAGAGCAGGCTTGATCCCCAGTAGAGCTCTTCAAGAGCGCAGGATTCTCCTCGAAAGGAAGGGGAATGGGAAGACAGATGAAGACAATATAAGTACGTCGATGGGTTTGTCTATTCGGTTCAATAACTCATTTCTTTTCATTTTGCAATTATTCATCGAGTCACGTAACATCATCCAATGTTCAATGTTTACATATTGTTAGAGGCAGATATATACATATCGATCAATGTTGCACGAAATCCGCAATTACTAAAATTATCGAAGTAGTGGATAGATGCTCGGAGTATATCGACATAATTTTGCTTTTATTCGGGCACATATTTCTAACAAGAATTCATTTCAAAATCTCTCCAAATATATAATTGTTTAGACGGATGGGAGAATCTTCGATTACCGTGCGAAATGCCAATATGCTCCGAGAATGCTATGTTTCAAGGCTGGTGTTGTTAATGGAAAGCTTATCACTAATATTGGCGTAAAAGTAGCGATGTTGCATAATGAATTTTTGTTCATTAGTGAACCACCTCGAGTATACTTTAGAATCGATCAATTGTGTTGACGCGACAGAGTTGCGTCCGAGGTGGACCCGTTAATTCAGTTACCCGTTAATTCGGTAAGCTAATCTTGGCTGCGCTTCTTTAACGAATGAATGGCCTGACGACCTAACCGTCGGTTAGGCTTGTGTTCTGTTCCAGTGCCTTTGCACATATTGTGCCCCCGTCCTACCTCTTTGCACGCCTCGCCTACAAAGTGCAACTTGCAGGGAACTAAAACTAAAAAAATCATGTATGACGCTGCAGAGAACGACGATTTCGACCGGGAAGAGGTACCGACCTACGAAGAAGTCGCGAAACTCTACCCTAGACCAGGCCTTTACCGGCCGGTGGTTCTCATCGGGCCACCGGGAGTCGGCAGAAACGAGCTGAAGAGACGACTCATGGCGACCGACACCGAAAAGTACAAGACTCCGGTTCCTTGTGAGTTTACCAAGAAGCTCATTAATAACTGATGAAGACAAAAGATTAGCTTAAAGAAAAATTAAATTTACACATATTTTAAAACTGACTCTTAACTGAAGGAAGAATAATAAATAAATTCCGTTTTCCGTAATGAAAATTTTATTAAATCAACATTCTGTGTGAATGAAGAGATTTGTAAAATAGAAAAACTGAATAAGAAATATTTGGTAAAAAGCAATGCTATTAAAAAAGCAAATAATCTAATACATAATGATAAATGGAAACATTATATTAATAAAAAATATTAATTTATCAATCTAATATTCTTTTTAAACAAAGCAATTGTTTTATTAGATACGTCTAGGCCGCCGCGACCTGGCGAAGTAAACGGCAAGGAATATCATTTTGTGACTCGAGAAAAAATGGAGGAAGAGCTCGAGGCTGGAAAGTTCATCGAGTACGGCGAATACAAAGGGAATCTGTATGGTACCAGCTCCGAGAGCGTTAGCTCGCTCGTAAATGCCGGATATGTTTGCCTCTTGAACCCTCATTATCAAGCTCTTAAGATGCTCAGGACACCACAACTTAGGCCGTATATCATATATATAAAACCGCCGACGTTCGAAGTATTGAAAGAAACCAGAAACGAGGCCCGAGCGAGATCGACCTTTGACGAAAGCAATTCTCGAGGCTTTACGGTAAATTAGAAATTTTATATTCATCCCAGAAATAGCCAAAAATAATTTTATCATTTTTATTATAAATTTATCGTTTCTTAAATTTGATTATTTAATTTTTTATTCGCCAGCTTTTGATATATTTAAACATTTTTGCGCTTATAATAAAAGAGAACAAGACTATTTTATCATCGTTTTTATACCATAGGATGAGGAATTCCACGAGATACTGCACAGTGCGGAAAGGATAGAATTCCTTTACTCTCATCTTTTCGACGAGGTAATTGTGAATGCTGATCTTTCCATGGCATTCGAACAACTAGTCAACGCAATTCATCGAGTGGAGTCTGAGCCGCTTTGGGTACCAGCTTCGTGGGTTCAGTAAAGTGATCTTTAAGATTTGAGGAACAAAAGCGTCCGAAAGGAGAAGCGGAAGAGAAGAGTTTTGTTGTTAGAGACGACTATTCATCGCGGATTTTGACGAGATTGAGCCTTTCTCACGATGCTCGACGACACTTTGCTTCTACCACCGCGAAGGATGTCCCTCAAAGGACGCACTTCTTGTCCGTCATCCCATCGGATTTCAATTTACCACCTAGGGTGTTACCGCGTCTTTTACACTACCTAGAAATTTCGTATCTCGAGCGAATCTTTATCGGTTTCGAAAACGAGTTAAATAAAATTTTCTATTATCAGATGCCGTACGTTCGTTCCCAGTGATCGTTGTCGGCTTGCACGTGACGATTCATCGATCGCGAAAGGAACGCAATCGTACTTTTCGCGATTAAGAGAAAGTTAATTACAAGATGTTAAAGTAATTTTGAAGATTACGCTTCAAGTGGTTCAAAATCGTCCTTCCCTCCTTCTCTCCTTCATCCCTCGACGTTCAATAGTCCTTGTTTTCCGTATAACTATGATACCAACGTGTCTCAGCGACACACTCCACTCTTAATCTTAGAATCCCTACTGCCAAAAGCTTCATTAGCGGCGAGAGATTTCATATCGCGCGGAGGAAATCAAGAGGAGGAAGCGATATGATTTCTTTAATCTCGTTGCGAATCTCTTCTGTACAATCTATCGATAAATTGAAATTTATCGTGAAATTCCAGTTTTAAGACCACGGGAATCTCGCATACCTTAGACTCGACGCTCGCAAAATGGTTATTGCGCCACCGTGGACGATCTTTGATCTCGATTGTTGTTAATTGTTGCCAAATAAGTATTGTACTTAGAATGCGGCCGCCAGACGGTCGCCCCACTGTACTTATTGTATTTTCCACTCGAACAGCATTATCACGACATTGCTATTTTATTTTATTCTTTTCCATGACAATGGGATGCCGATATGAGAAAGGAAACAGCTGTATCGAGTTGATCGACTCTATCAACATTGCATAATTTCATCTTTGATGTAAACTCTGCATGTTATCGAAATATACTATTAAACTTTGAATGTGCAATTAAGACAACCCAGCCCCTTTTACGTTCTAGATGTCCTAATCTGTGTGAAGAAGAGAATTTAATTATCTATTATTATCCTATAATTAACGTTAATTCGCATATTCTCGCGTAACGTACGTGATATAACTATTGCAGAGGGCGTACACATCTGTGTCTTTCAATCACTCGAGTAAATTACAAATATGAGAGTGGGCCACCTCCGAAATATTATACCGAGAAAAACATCTTCCGAGAAATTTCGCGCCTGCCGAATAAAATAGGAAAGGCCTTCGTGTGAGTCCGTTGATGGACAGCTGACGTGTTTCACGTGCCTTAACTTCGCGTAGCAGTTTCTTTCTGCGTTCATTACTTCCAAGGTCAGTGTCAAATGAGCGACAGGCTAACCCGGTCGGCGATCCGGCGCAAAAAAGTTACACGGATACGAGACGTGGCTTTGCGCAAAAATAAGTGGCCTAGGCACAATTGGCATCAGTGAACTTCCGACACGCATTGTGTGACACAACTCGACGAAGATGCGCTTATTCGGTAATCCCGTTCACCTCTAATTATCTAAAAAGAGACAATTGTTCAGGCAACCGTTAGAATCTTCAAACCGACTTCACTCTTGCAATCGGCTCTTAATCATTCATTTAAGTTTTGAATGATTCAAGATTAATAATCGACAGCGTAAAGGCTTCAAGTATATTTTTATTCGATTGAAAATACTTTCTTGTAAATTAAGTTTTTGATTCTCGGCCGTTCCCGAATTTAATTAATGTACCATCCTCGTTTCCTTTTTCAAGAAGCCGCCGAAAATTCGTGTGCGACGAACATCCGATGTCAAAACTGCGACTTACATTTAACCGGCGGGAAACTCTTAATAGCCCGTCACGAGCAGGCACGGAAACCACTTTGCTCTTCGCGCCAACAACTTCCTCTCGAAATTACGGACTCCTTCGTTGGAGGCGCCTGCAAATATTGATTCTCGGACGTGGATGGTTCGCGTGCGTGCGAGAACTCGCGTTCTCATATATGCCGCCGAGATTTCAGAATTTCTCGGCCAACTTTGGCATGCATAAATCGCCATGTTACCTCACATGTAATGCAATCTCATATCGCATGCCTCGTTTTGCAATTCGTTACTGTTGTCTGTCACTTTGCCTGTGGCTTTTCGTGTGGCATCCGCTTGACTAACATATGCGGAATTCGCAAAAATGGCCCTGATAATCGCGGTGCCTAAAATCGAAGCTCGCGAGAAAAGTCAAAAGTCATTTCACTTTTTAAATATTATCGATTGTTCATCGTAAAAAGAAAATGAAGCTTTTTCAATGAAGCTGTTTCGTTCCTGTGGATTTAATTTAAAAATTTTTTAAATATTTAAAAAATTAGCTCAAAATTTACTTATAAAAATTATTATACAACTTACAATTACAATTTCGAATTCTCACGCGTTATACAATTTAAAATCACGCGTTACTTGTAACCGTTTAAAAGTAACATTCGCAAGCCTTGTTTAAAAAATTTATCAGAATTATTATTAAGTTAAATATTCGATTCATGAAAAAAAATATGTACGTACTAAAATTATGCTATAAATATCCCTTTCTAAAAATATTTGTAAAAATTTCGCTTCTATGCGTGATATCCGAAATTCATTTATAAAGCATTTTAAGGCCGTGTAGCAAAGTGTTTAGCGACACTTATTATTATCTCGCGGCGTGACAAAATTATCTTCGCAACCGGCTATTGTCACCGCCTCTGGGTTGACGACTTGCCATTCGAGCGATATTCGCGGTCAGAAGATCGAAATTTAAAGTCCCACGGCGGACTCATTTCGGGATTGAATTTACGCCGTACGAGCGACGGCGGCGGCGGCGGCGACGACATTTAAATCGTGCTGTCGTCGATATTTTTCTTAATTCGACGGGTACCATTGTCCGAGCATCGACACGCGCTCGGCATTTCCGTCGGTCATCTTTATTAATCGCGCCCGATCCAAGAAACGATTGGCAGAAATAGCCTACGCGCCTCCTCGCCGGCCGATATCTCGTCGCCGCATGAAGCCGCGGTGCTGTCGCCCGATCGTTTTAGTGCGGCCAAGTACAATGCACGACGATAATTCGGAAGTAACTACCGTCCACGCAAACTACAAGCCGCGTTATATGTGCGCGTTACATCTCCACGACGAAATCGCTCACGACGGCGACGGACCGAGTGTGATCTGGGACATCGTCTCGACGTTAACTGGCGGATCATCAATCGCGTGGACGTCCTCGAGCAACATTATGTAAATGCTTCTCGCCGACACCCGACACAATTCTGGTTAACGGATGAGACTGATAGCTACTACCGGCGGCTTTTAGCCAGAGATTGATAGTATTCGGGTAAGTTCAACTTTGAGATTGCGCGCGAACATCGCGCGGAAATGGTTATTGCCGCCTTTTATTGCCGCCAATTGGTTTGCACAAACATCTCAAATTTTTCGTAAGAAAACACTTGATTTCGGAGATAATTTTTAATTAGCAGGGACATGAAAATTTTGCTTTCGTTCGCTACACATTCGCATTGACATTAAAATTTTGAAATCTGAATACTTTTGTCTCGCTCATCTCTAAATATAAAAATGATGACTAAATGATGATTAAATGGAAGCAAAATTATACACTTATATCAATCTCTGTTTAATATAATTATGTACTTCTTGAAAAGATAAGATTGATTAAAGATATCGAAAGTATTTTCGATATGCGCGAACAGAAAGCTTTTTGCATAAAGAAACAACGGAAGTATCTCCTCGACTATCGCTAATGTTATCGATTTTATATGATATCGCTAAGTGTGTTCAGCTGTCGCACTTGAGATCACGCGTGATAACATCGAGCATCGCGCTGATGCGCGAGCAGATGAAAATCCGCGATTCCCGTGAAAATTACGTTCCGCAAAAATCAATGTGTTCCGGAAAAGTCACATCTTGGTAGATAAGCCTCTTGTTTGACATTGTTGAGGATTCTTTATAAGCTTCGACCGAACGCTTATATAATCTCGAGGAATTTTCAGAACGAAGCCGAGTGCGAAAGAGAGGTATTTGCAGTGGTCACGAGTGTTATATTTTTAGTTATGGCGGATTTACTAATTGATCTTGAATCATTGGATGAAGCACGTGCACCTATTGCAACGCGGCGACCGCGTGTCGACGTAAAAATAGAATGAAAAACGAGAAAGTGAAGAGCTTAACCTCGTCTCGCTGTACACAATCCTCGATCGGATGTCGTAATCTCCGCAATGTACTACCGATATCCCGTTGTTAAAATTCCAATCGCGACGTATCGCATTATTGGAGGTTGATCCGACAGAAATAGAATTCCACTTCCTGTAAGTTTATAAAGGTTAAATTAAACAAAATACGAGAATAGAGAGAAAACGAGAAATAAAATTTCTGCATGTTGAGAAAAAGAAATAAAGCTCCGTGACGTGATCCGGGGGTTGAAACAGGTATAATTGCGACGAGTTCGGATTTCGACATACGAAAATAATCCGTGACGCTTATTACTTAGGAAAAAAAAAAAAAAAAAAAAAAACGACAAATTGACGTAAAATTTATTTTTCCGTGAAGCTCTAAAATTAAGCTCGTCAAGATTACGCCGATCTCAATTCTCATTCGCCGTTGGAATAGCGCTTTTGTTTTGCTGCCAAATGATGTTGCCCGTTTTAATCAATCTCGAATTCGCGTTGCTCGTTTCGGCCTGCGCGCGGAATATAGCGGAACGCGCCATAAATCGCAATGCAATTAGAATTCTGCCGCGGGCTTTTACAAGCGTCTGGAAATGCGACGGGCCTCTGCGAATTCGCGCGCGGAAGCACATTTCTAATTTTCCATCAGCGGGACTTTTCCATCCGTAACACCTGGCTGAAATTCGCGCCTGCGTGATGACGGAGCCTCGCTTCCAGCCCTCGTGAGACTTTCGGTGCGAGGGTGCAATTTAAACTTTAGCCCAGTAGCCAATCAACCCCTTGACGAGCGAACGATTCGGAGGAGAGAAGGACCGCCGGCCGGAGGTGAAAATAAACTTTTGTCGATTCGCGCGCGATTCGACAAAATCGCTCGCGCAAATGGTGCCGCGATTTGTGCCGCGGAGTTCGTCGCCGCCGCGCGTTATTTCCGCAGAGAACCTCTCCCGTGGATCGCGTTTCGATCGTAATTCAAGAATAGAAGACGCCGGTTGCGCAAAGGTAACCGATTTAGAAATCCCCGTGCATCTGTTCACCCCCCGACGATCGCGATTATTACGACGATATTTCAGGAATAGAATATCTTGTTTATTTTTACAAGAATTTCCCGGAATGACATTATACGCGACAGACGAATAATTATGTATTTCAAATGGTTGATTTAGACTTTTATTTGCAATAGCGATAATATAAACCCGTAAACGACACGTTTCATATGAGCACGTTGGAGATGATAAACTCGAGATAACATTTTATAACTTTGCACACGGAGCAGTCGTATACAAAATATGAGATCCGATTCTATCGCACACGTTTAAGGCACCTAATTACGGATTTAGAACACGCATGGCATATCTGGCCCGAGTACAGATACTCTAAAGAATCACTTTTCAGACAGACCGTGACCCAGAGGCACAACTAAGAAGATTAGTCTAAGTCGAAAGGCCATGTTAAACTTTCCTTGCGGAACGATTCTCTTGTTTCGGTCAAGATCAGCAATTCCAATATTCGCGTTGAATATGTTTAAACAAAAATGCTTTTTTTAACTTATTCAAATATTTAGCCAATCATCTAGCACTGTACATCTTTAAATAATTAAATATATTTATATTAATTTTCATAATACAAATTTTCCAACAAAAAGACTATATATATGTATAATTTTCGAATATTAATGATAGATATGTTTAATATTTATACATGTTGTCGATTTTAAAGTGGATTTAAATCCGAACAAGAATTAAAACGGAAAATTTTATTTTTGGATAAATTGTTAAAAAGAATAGAATATGGCAAAATTCAATTTATCGATCTTTTTCAGTATTCCCGGAAAAGCATATCATAAGGTGAGCGATCACGGTCATGGTCTTGAGTGGGCCGTTCGCGGACTCCAACTTCCTGGCTATCGCACCGTCTAAAATCAAATTTAAACCGGTCAGTAGTATGCCTCATCCTAAGATATACACGTATATTTATTAAATGAAGCTTTGAGCTGCGTCATGACTGTGTCGAATCGCGAAGCTGGCTTTGAGATTACGATCGTGTTTTGAAAATGTCAACGACACGATGATGCACGTGATTCTGAAGCGAACGTCGTCATTATTTCAATTTGATATCGTGTGAGGCTCATTAATACTTGTTAGTTAATCTCAAATAGGCATATGCGGAATTTTAATAAGTCATATCACGTTCTCGTAAATTATTCCATTATGTTTGCTATGGCGTGTCAGAATTTGATTACTAAATCTAAATTTAATTAGTACTCACTGCGTTTAAATATTGAACCTAAATTAGATAACATTTTTAAAAGCATTTTTCTTTATTTTCTACTTTTCTTTTCTTTCTCTTTTTTTTGTTATTGTAACTTATTTATATTTAATAATGTATTATTTTTAATATTATTAGACATATCCTAACTTTTGACAAATGCACAAGCAAAGGATATAATAAACATAAAATCGTAAAATATAAAAATGTAACACTTTCTTTTTTATATTTTGCCGTATATTAATAAAATTTTTTTCCATTAAATATATTAATAAAAATCACTTTACAGACATGTGGTGTGATTTATACTATTAATGTAAAAAAATAATTTTAAACGTCTTTAAGTATAAATTGCGTGCATAAAAATTTGAGTTATCACGAATAACTTTTTTAAAGATAAGCGAACGACACAGAAATTCAATTTAAATTAAATTAAATTACAAAAGTCCTTCTTCCGGAAATATAAAGTATCAGTTTTCCGAGAATGTTTCATGAGACTTGCGAGTGCAACGTACTCAAAACAGTAACCAGCAATTAACAAATTATGTTTTTTTATTGTATCCTAGAGAGAATAATTCACAGAAGTCGCGTGTATGAATGTTGTTTAAAAAAAGGAGCGCCCTGTTTTCCCGAGTCGTCACGAGCGAATTAATTTTCATCGAGAAACCCTTCCGCGATAGGAAAGAGAGATCTATGTGTCTCTCCGTGTGAATGTTCGAGTTCGCTTCGATGCCGAAATGGTCGAGGATGCCGACCTTGGCACGAAAAGCGTCTCTCGTCTCTTTGAGACGAAGCGATTAAAGGCTCGCGTGCTTGGTTCTGCACGCCTCACCCTCCTAACGCTCTTATCGGAACCCACCCTCTATCATTTGGCGCACGTTCCTCATTCATTTCTCGATCCCGATCAAATAGTCTTATCTACTTATACATGTCACTCTTAATCCAAATGACGTTTTACACGATGCAACGTAATTCCGTAATTATTTTTCTATATCATTTCCTTTAAATATACCTGTCTTCTCAATTATTTTATTAACGCCGATGTCAGCGTTTTTCTTCTCTTTAAAACATCTAAAGCCTTTCTTTACCGTAATATCTTCCACATTTTGACATTTTAATTTGCTATAAATTTTAAAATCTTATTCGAACTTTAAACGCAAACTTCTCTTTTGTAAATAAAATCAGAGATTTTACAACATTCTTTGTATATATATATA